TGTATAAAGGTGAAAGATCCATTAACCCATCACCTTAAGGTTTTAGGTAAAGAGTGGTGTCAATCCCTTGTATAGTTAGGCTCAAATGTTATTGATGTTTGTATCTCCCGATGAAGAATGTTTTGGGTAGAGAGTGATGTCAATCACTTATATAGTTGGACTTATATCTCACTGGTCTCGTGTCTCCGTGAACCTTATCTCATATGGTGTGTCATATCCATGCTAGAACGAAAATTATTATTGTATTTAAATTCAATCATAAAAAAATATTAATCTTAACTACCATGATCTTCTAGCACACAAGCTTTAAGTTATATGATCCTCTTTTATTATTTATTTATTTCAAGATGATAGGCTAAGCTAAGACGAAATTGGGTTCCTAGGACATAATGTAAACTCTCTCAAAACTTAGAGTAAACCTAGGATCCTATCAAATATTGTCTATATATTGGAGGAAATCCCATGTTGTCTTTTAATTTCTTTCGTATACAATTCAGTCCGTTTTTCCAATTAATACATAACATTAACGAATAATAAGTGAGAAGATTTTGTTAAATAACCTCTCTCTATATATATAATCCAAATTTTAAACTATTTATACTACATAATGTGTTACTTCTTTCTTCATTTTTGGGTCACTAAAACATTAAGATTTTGGTACATTTTTGTTGCACCTAGATGGATATTCAATTTTCTTTTATGTGTCTATTGTAGAATCACCTTCTTTGAAATACATTAGGTATAAATATTCTATTATTTAATCTTAAAACTCTTTTCGTATCTAAGCTAAAATTTACTCCATCTTTTTGTCCTAACAATTTTTTTTCCTTTGAATGAATTTATTATATGCTTGAGCCTTTGTAAATGACTATAGTAATCTGATTTGAGTTTACTTTTACTCTACACGTGACTTATGTGATTGAAAAATTCATATCTTTAAATCTTTTGTAAAACTAACTTTATGAATAATTAATGAGAATATATGTAGATATTTTATACTTAATTGCCACTGTATTTGTTTTTCTCAATAATAATGAAATTCAAAATCATAATCTTTTAAAAATTTCATCCACTTCTGATATAATTTTTTGATGAGTTTTCATTATAATTTTTATCTTTTAATTAAATAGAAAAAAATAATGATTCATGTAATAAAAATTAAATGTAATGTTATGGGTATTAAAGAGTACTAATTGAGAACTAATGTGGAATTCATAAGGTCTAGCCTAATTTATCCTATAAAATGAAACACTTTAGTACATTGAGACATATATGAATTTTATAGAAAATTAAGTTTTCTCTTTGTGAGAATTTTGTAAAGTTCTATAAGTATTTCAATTTTAATCTTACCAAGGTAATATGTGACAATCAATCCTATGGCTTATCACTCATCTTCTTCCTTTTCTTAAATGTGACATCAATATCATTCTTTAAACTGAATATCATAGCGGTCATCCCGTAGTTTCTCATCACCTTCTCTATCACTACACAAGTAATATCTCCATATTTGAGTGCATGTTAGCTAATTCTAGGATCACAATGTTAATTAATGAGAATATATGTAGATATTTTATACTTAATTGCCACTGTATTTGTTTTTCTCAATAATAATGAAATTCAAAATCATAATCTTTTAAAAATTTCATCCACTTCTGATATAATTTTTTGATGAGTTTTCATTATAATTTTTATCTTTTAATTAAATAGAAAAAAATAATGATTCATGTAATAAAAATTAAATGTAATGTTATGGGTATTAAAGAGTACTAATTGAGAACTAATGTGGAATTCATAAGGTCTAGCCTAATTTATCCTATAAAATGAAACACTTTAGTACATTGAGACATATATGAATTTTATAGAAAATTAAGTTTTCTCTTTGTGAGAATTTTGTAAAGTTCTATAAGTATTTCAATTTTAATCTTACCAAGGTAATATGTGACAATCAATCCTATGGCTTATCACTCATCTTCTTCCTTTTCTTAAATGTGACATCAATATCATTCTTTAAACTGAATATCATAGCGGTCATCCCGTAGTTTCTCATCACCTTCTCTATCACTACACAAGTAATATCTCAATATTTGAGTGCATGTTAGCTAATTCTAGGATCACAATGTTAAGTAATATTTCTCACATGCTATTAATTGTTTGGAAACATATTCGGTCTTGAACAAGAACACATTCTAATCCCATTTTAAAGGAATCACAAAATATTACAACAAGTTTAGTATGATTAGATGAAATGGTTAATCTTTTATTTAGTTATTGAAAATTATTCTAAATTTTTTTTCATCCATTTAAAAATTGATTTTTCTTAGTGAGTTAAGTTAAGACATGACTATTTTAAAAAATCCTTTTATGAATCATCAATAATATCTAGCCAATACCATAAAACCAGGAATTTGAATTACCATCTTTCGTGGTTGTTCTATCAAAATTTGAAGATATTCCTAATTCTTCTCATGAATCATAGATAAATAAAACTATCATTTATAAAAAAAATGACAAAATGATCTAAGAATGTATAAAAAAATAGAGATTCCCATAATCTATTAATACTACTAGAGTAGTGGTCTTACCAAAAGACATTATATGATATTCCTAATTACCATACTTTGTTTCGAATGCAGTTTTCTGTGTTTTCTACTTTTACTTTTATTGGATGATATCCCAACCTTAAATGTATCTTAGAAAATATAAATGTTCCTTTCAATTGGTCAATTGAATAATTTATCCTAGAAAGAGTGTATTTTTCTCTAATAGTGACTTATTTAATTGAAAATAATCTTTATATAACCTAAAAACTTCCATCTTTCTTCTTAATTAACAAAACATGAGCCCTTCAAGATTGTATACCAGAACGAATGCATTTCTTAAGTAATTCATTCATTTATTTAAGTCTTCTAGTTCAAAGGATGGCATCTTATAAGGTGCCATTGAAATTGGTTTATATTTAGCTATCAAATTAATTGAAAATCAATATCTCTATTAGGCAGCGAACTAGAAATAATTGCAAAAAAAAAAATTTAAAATTTTGAATACTTTGCTATATTTTTAAAATTTATTTTCTCTTTTACTTCTATAGAAGATAACAACAAATACTCTTAAATTTCATTCTCTAAAACCTTACTTATTGAGTTGGTAAATGAATTAAAAAATATTCTCAAAATTAGATATTATTATAGACTTTTCAATTACAACTTGATTGATGAATCATACAATACTTTTTAAAGTTTTATCCTGGAAATATGTATCTTGGATTAGATAATTGTGTTGAGCATTTTCTATTGCAATCACAATGTAAACTCTCCTAATTGTAATATCTTGGATGCAAAAAAATTTAAATGAGTCCTTAATTGTCAACGTTATGAGTTTCTCACAATAAAAATAACCTTGTTAGAAAAAAAAAAACTTAGCTAAACCGATAAGGGTGAATTGATTTTTAAAAAAAATTAAAAAGATTTACCCCTTTTTCAAGTTATTTGAAAATCAGTTCAATTTAAAAAATCAAATCAATTAATTTAAGAATAAGATTGACAAAAAAAAAAATTAATGAACAGCAAGATAAAGAATATAAAAAAATTACACAAAAAATTATTTCAGTTCATATCGCGGATAATCATTGTCACTATTATTTCTACCAATCTTCACATCTTTTGAAAATGTCCAGTTTTATAAAGTAACCGGACTTATCTTAAATTTGTTCCTGACGAAATCGATTGAACTGGTCGAACTAAATTTTAAAATTGAGTTTACAATATTTCTATTTGGTGTGTTGTAATAATTTATGACAAAATAGTTATCTATTTAATCCAATATTACCAAAATTTAAAAATACATATATCTTGATTTCATGTAAATAAATCGTATTCTTCCCTAGAACTCTTCGTTAGATAATAGCATTATTTGTATTCGAGTACCAACCAATTCATTATTTTGCGGCCTTATAATACACACGCATTAACTGTTTGGAATTTGGTCAGTTGCAACTAAAACGCATATCTCATAATTTTCCTTTTACAAAAGATTTATAATCCTATATAAAAATGTTAACCTTAACACAGTATAAATATAGAGATAGAGATAGACCCGAAAAACCTCGTTACAATATAATAGATTTTAAATTTAATTTAATCTTTTAAAATTAATTTAAAAAATAAAATTTCCATTTTATTTATATCTCATGATTGAAATATATTTTTACTTAATATTATTAAAATGGAACAACTATCTTTGGTATTGAAGTTGTGAAGATGTAAAATCTAGATTAAAAAATTTTCTTAGTAAACAAAATAATTATGACCTTGAAAAATAATTCTAGAATAGAGTTATAGCTTCCATTATCTCCAGCCATGAAGAGGAAAAGATGATAAGAGTGGAAATTAGGTGATGAGAGTGTATATTGAACAGTTACAATTCCGTACTTGCTATCCTTTCTTCCAGAAAAGAGACGAATCTTTAAGAAAACAAATATAACCAAACTACACTTGAGACAAGTAGAAAATGAAGAGAAGTATAAAATAAGATAGAGAAGTTACTTCAAGTAATTTCTCATAATACATGACTTATGATATGTGACTATCTTAACTTAGTTTTCTCTTCTATCTCGCTTTGTATTATAGAATAATTATACAAAAATACTTTTACCAATAAAAAATAGTTGTGTCTGAATTGAATGTATTTCGGCGTGAAAATAATGGGGTGAAGTGTCAGGTCAGCTACTAACACATGGTCCTACTATGTGTGATTTTGCATATTCCAATAGCCTACATATAGGGCTGCTACAAAATTGGAATGGCACCCATCATTCAACATTTCATCTCATACCCTCTCTTGAATCCATTTTCTTTCTCTCTATCTAGCCACCCTTTTGCCTTTTCATTGCATAAAGTATGTTCCTCCCTCAACTTTGATCCTCAAAAGCACCTAGGAAATTTTGTTTCATGTTTTTTAAGCCCTTTTTATGCTCAACTTTCTCATGCACTGCAACCTTTTCTGTTAACCTTTCTCCAAACTCCTTCTATTTTTAACCTACAACTTTTTTTCCTTCAACTATGGCTACCATTTCATCCACTGCCAACACCAGCTTTCATCAGTTACATACTTTCAACTCTGAGAACAATAACAGTCACCTCTATGATGCCACTTTCTTTCCATATTTGAATGGCAACGAAGGGACCATTGTAGGAAGGCTTGGTGAACCAACCCAAAAGCTCAATCCATTCACCAGCACCAAAAAGTCCCCTCTTCAGAAGCTAGAAAAGAAAGAAGAGAATGGAGAAATCGGAGTGTTTGGAGCTGAAAAGTACTTCAATGTAGGAGAATCTGAGACCCCTAGATCTGCCAGCAGCATATCCACTTCAAAGTACCTGCACCAGAGAGATGAACCAGTGCCTCTAGCAACTAGAAAGCACACACTTCTGTACGGAACTCCAAGCATGCGTTCTGAATCAACTAGCAATAGCCAGAGTGCTTTTCTGCAGAGTGGGATGAAAAATTCTTTAAGGAGTAAAAAAGATAAGTATCAAGCCAAGAGCGTTCTTGCTGGTCTTGGCTTCAAATGCTCTTGTTCTGGCAAAGATTCTGTTGATGCAGGTGAAATCAGTTTTAGCAAAACTGCTACTTACGGTGCAGTTCATGGCAAAACAACAAGAAAGCTGGTGGATATTGCTGCTATAGATGCTAGCCATTCAATTAAATTAAGCAAGCCTAATGCAGAACTCTTGAAAATCAATAATGTTTACTTCCAAAAGGAAGAGAATTTTGGGGTGGGAGTGAACAGCAGAAAGAACAGTCTGCAATTCTCGCCCATGAGTTCTGCCTCAGGAAACCAAAACCATCTTGTCAAAATGCAAGCTCAACAAGAGGAAGAAGAGATCAAACCAAGGAAATCCTTGGAGGTGTTTGGGTCCCCCGTACTGAAGAATAAGATAAAGTCTTTGAGCTTTGACAGAAGGATGGAAATGTCCTCAAGAGATGGTGTTCCAAGGACGGAAGAAATTGATTCAAACTACATGAATGATGCGGCAAGTGATGCAAGTTCGGACTTGTTTGAGATCGAAAGCATAAAAAGCAAAACCAACCCATTCTTTGCAAGGCAAACATCAGATGCTGCTTCCGGGTGTGTGAGCCCCACAAATGGTTATGCACCGAGTGAGGCAAGCATAGAGTGGAGTGTGGCCACTGCCAGTGCTGCAGTTATGTCAGACTTTGAAGAACAGATGTCAGAAGTAACCATAAGGAGTCCAATAAGGACAGCATTTACTTTATCAGATGGAAAAACAAAAGCTTCTAGAGAGGTTCAGAGAAGGCGCCCTAGCATGCTGTTGGGTTGCAAGAGCCACAAATCAGTTAGAGTTGCCGGTGATGCTTTCATAACATATGAACATCCAAGTTCTACACCCAAAATTAGTAACAGGACTAATACCTCTCAGATTGCTAGGTTTCCTTCTGAGACCAAACCGGGAAACTTTGGTGCAAAATATGGACAACAACATCACACTTATGCCGCATCACCACTGCAGCATTCTCACTCACCACATGCCTCAAAACTACTATACATTTAGCATGGTATTTTTCCCTTGGAATTTGTTCAATTATGGTGAGTATACGCATGGAAGTATGAAAAAGGAAAAAAGTGCATCTTATGGGCTTCAAATCACCACGTCGATAGTAAGGTCGAGGTGCTTTTTCTTGTGTACTGCTATAGTCCTATCATCTTAATAATCTTGTTGTATTTTTCTGTAAGCTTTCATATCATGAATGCTTTTCCATCCAGAATTTGCAGCTCATGTTTAGAAAGGTGACGAAAATGGATGTTTTTGTAGTCATGCTTTTGGTGTCATAAAAAGAAAAGAGATGTGAAAGGGGACCTCGTATTGTGAAGTGAAGACATGAGAAAAACTCCTCTGCTTGTTTCATAGCTTTGTTTTTATGTATTTTGTTGGATCTGGTCCTTGGATTAGAATAATGTCCAGAATTACTTTTCATGATATTTTCCTTTACTGTCTAATAAACAACAGTAATTGCCAAATTTCTTACTGTGCAATTGTCGGCTATTTGAAATATCCAATATCTACCAACAAAGACCGCAAAGAAAATCATAGAAACTTTAACCCAAAAGTTAGTTCAGTAACATTGTCTCTCTGCATACGGTTACCATTTTAGCCACATCACTGGTAAATATAATATCACAAACAAGTACTCTTCAAATACAATGAAATTTGCATGAAAAAGTACTGTAAGCACTTTTTTAGTTCCTCATACTTGAATTATTCGATCACTAGTATTGAACCCTGCATAAGGTGTTACAATACTGCACTGCATGCGCAGTATTAATTCTTTCATTAATGGTATGAAGAATGGTAATAATACTGATGCCACAGCTAAGAGAAACTTGAATAGAATGTCGTTACAGGGACATGCAACTAACAATGGAGACATGTATATATGAGAACCAAGGAATTTTTCCTTCTGCAATTAATTCTAAACCACCTCATTTAAGAGGTGTTCCATCAAGCTATTATAATAATAATAATAATATTTCTTAAGGCATTGGCATAGGTCAATGCCCATACAGTAGCAGATATGTGCGACAGATTGGAAGGCTAGAAATTGTTTAAGTTGTGAGAAATCTGTTGATTTTTAATGTTGAATATTGACATTTATGGTCTTTGATTTGGCTACAGAAGGCTTTCGTGGAGCATAAATTAGCCTCTAAACGGGCATGGGTTCATAACTTGAAAACTATTGAAAGAAATGTTTGTCCCGGGGGCCATGCTCTCCTAATTTAATATCTTCATTATGAGCCAAGAAATTTATAGAGGTATATTTGTTCCATCTTAAAAGATGAATACGACTTTTCCCTCTTAAAAGTATAGCCACATATTCTTTGCTACATATTAAAATTCTTCAGAATGTTTATACAGATGAGTGCATATTGTTTTTAACATTTTCGAATTAAGCAATAATGGCGAACAAACGATGACTTCTGTATTAGTTTTCAAATTATTTATGCCACCACACTTTGAGATGTTCAACAATCATCTAGGGTTTGCTACGTATACTTTATTTAAGGAACAAGGAATCATTCTCATTTTTATCTGATGCTAAGATTATTTTTCTTCTCACGCCTATTTTTTATTATATATATATATCCTTTTATTCCCTAACAAAATTCCTCCTATAAGATAGATACAATAGGATAAACTAACATTTTTCTTTTGTACATAAAACTACTGTAACAAGATGTCATATGTTATTTGTTCTGTAACCACCATCAAAGTAGCTCTAATTATATGGTTTCTAAAAGTAAGTTTGTAATTACTGATTTATGTATAGTATAAAAATGTAACGATAAGTTTAATTTTATGTACAAAAATATGTATACTATAACAAGATGTCATATGTTATTTGACAGTATAAAAACGTCCTTACATATTATTATTAAAATTTTATTTAGTCCATGTAACGATTAAAATACAATTTATTTTATACATAAAATTTAAATTACATTTTAATGGTAATATGTAAAAATTTTCTTAAAAAATAAAACTAATATAAAGGATAAAAGCTGTTTAGAAATTATTTGTTTATTTATTAATACTAATTTTAAAAATATTCAATTTTAACAACTAATAAAAATCATTCAGTCCAATAGTGCATATATGAGATATTATTTAGACATGGTAGTGAACATCTGATGCGGATATATTTTCTGTTTTATTTGAGATTTTTTTTCTTTATTTTATTAAAAAATCAGTAAAAAAGTTATCTGGCAGATTTCGTAAATATTCGTACATATAATAAAATCACTCATTTTCATCTATTTATCATAATATTTTCCTTTTAGATAAGAAGGTATATTTTTGTCGGTGAACAAAACATGAGTTATACCGTTGCTGTATTTCGAAAGAAAGTAATCAATAAGGTGAGTAAAAATTGATAAAAAAAAATAGAACTACAACTAAAAGGAATTATGAAAAGAAAGATAAAGAGATAAACAAGAATAATAAAATATAGTATATTAACTTTATAAATTATTTTTATTCTATTTCATTCTCTGCTTTTCTTTCCTCTTTTATCGACCAAACGTTAGTATATTTCTTCTTTTTCACAGTCCTTATTCTAATAAATGTTATTGGTCACGGTGGAACACTGAATAATATTATATATAAGTATGTTTATTTGAACTTCCTTACAACTGAATCTAAGTATGTTTAGTTGAACTTAATGATTTAAAATCACCATAAAATATCAACTGAATCTAAATACATAATTTTTTTTTGCTAGATAAAATTTTATATCACATTCTGTTGTTTTATAACTTATGTTTATAATGAAATTATTCAAAGTTAAAAAAAACCTATTCATATTTAATGTAATTATTTTAATAATGGTTTTTAAAAATAATTTTAGAAACAGTTACAAGAACATAGTGAAAAGATAATTATAACTTCATCATCATTGATCAGGAACTACGGAATCTACATAAAAAGTTTTGTACACACATCAGTTCAATCCTTACAATAAATCATGAACAAGTCCCCACGCAAGGGAGACATATTTTTCACGTACGTCAAATCAAAGAAATGGTAAATGCATAGATCCATGTCACTGAATCACAATTAGTCGTGGGATCCAAGATTAAATCAAAAGTTGCTTTTTACAGATAAAACTCTGCTATTCGTAGCTTTGTTTGGACAGGATTTAAACTTTCTCAAAATATAGAACCAGAGACCCACACTGAGCAATAGCAAGATATTTGAAATAGAAAAGCTTGCAAGTAGAACTATGCAAAATAGCTCCAAATAAGTCAGCAATGAGATAGACAAAATGACACCAGGGTAGATAGTCCAACATCAATTTCTTTAGTAAAGATTGACTAGAATGGACAAAAGGGAAAAAAAATTATAACATATCATTTTGGTTTTCCTATTTTATTTCACCGATAGTTATGGTTTTTATTTTAAAATGAAAATATTTGGCTCTAAAAAAATAGGTGAAAACACGTGGTTGAAAGTTACAACTAAAGGTTACCAAAATATGTTGAATTATAAACAGAGTTAAATAATACATACATAAGTTCCTTGCATTCAAATCAAAAAATATCTCAATATAGTCATATGATATTTTAAAGTAAGGAACCACAATTAATACAGTTTTCCAAAAAAATGACATTCATCATAACTAATATTAACTACTATTCTAAATTTTTAATGACCTTTCCCAGTTTGTAAGCTAATAACACCGTTTATCTATACATATACTCACATATTAATATATAATCATTCAAAAAGAAAATAAAACCAACAAACACAAATAAAAACAAAAGAGTAATCTAATATATTTTAAATGAAAAGAATTATAAATATTGAAAGATAAAGAAAATAGTATTATTAACTTATATACGAGAGAAAAATCAATTCTTAGATTAACATGTATAAGTTATACATATTTTTGATTACTCAAGTAGATAATATTACAGAACAGAATAAAAACTCACATATTTTTTATTAATCAAAACAAATTATCTAAATCGATCCACACATCTCTATCCAACTAGCTCATTCAAATCTTAGCCCAAATTACTTAAACTACATTAATCATTATATAAACCAATTCAAAAATGTAAACATTTCACATTCATCCTTCTCTCTCTTTTTCGTTCTAGATAGGTTAGAATGTGCAATTCTTGTTTCACTTTCTCTCTTTTATCTTTTCTTATTCTATTTTTATCTTTTTAATTAAAATAATACCAACAATCACTAAATCTTTTAAATTTCAAATTTATCTTCCTTTCCTTTCCACACCCCCATAACTTAATTTTTGCACTAATTAATGAGGATAAAATGACTTTTTTACCCTTGGACCCAAAATACAAATTAAAACCCAAAAGTTTACTTTAACTCTCTTTCTTTCTAGAATTTAGCTCACACCTATTCAATCCTAAATTACCCGTCTACCCTTAATCCAACACATCATATTAATAAGGGTTAAATATGTTTTTGATTCCTTAACTTTTAGTGAAATTTGAAATTAGTCCCTCTTCAAAACTTTGGCCTAATTTAGTCCCCAAACTTTAAAAATGTGTGAATTTAGTCCTTTGAACTAAATTTTGTTAGGTTTATTTGATGTTTCAAGTGCATTTCATGATAGCATTTGAGTTGTTTATACCATTTGACACATTTTTGCTTCAATGTTAACTAAGAAATGTGTTTGAAACATCAAATAAAGTTAACAAAATTTGGTTAAAAGGACTAAATTCACACATTTCCAAAGTTTGGAGACTAAATTAGTCCAAAGTTTTGAAGAGGAACTAATTCTAATTTTCACTAAAAGTTAAGGGATCAAAAACATATTTAACCCTATTAATAAGAACACACCACACAAATCATCAAAATAACAACATATCAATCATGCATTTCACTTAATCAATAATAACATTAAATAATAATCATAATAATTATAATTTTAGAAAACATTTAATCATCAAACACCAATTATCAAACAATAAGGTTCAAGTCTTATAACAACATTATTCCTTAATTATCATATTTTCCTAGGGTCTTACAACAACAGGAGGAGGAGCATCGGACATTGCTTCA